CATTAAAAATCAAAAAGTTGACTCAAAACCAAAAAGAATAAAAATAAAAGTGGATGGAAAACAATAAGGATCTCCTCAAATGATATGCAACAGGTTCACCCTGGGTGCACGATTTGGTATTCTGATAAGTCAGTCAGAGACTTCAGCAGCACAGATTCTAGCAGGCTGTGGCAAGTACAGCAAACAGGCACACACAGATGGGGCAGATAATATTTCTGCTCTTTAAATCAGCCTTTTATTCACTAACATCACAATGGCAACTCTCAAACTTGTCCAAACCTGCTCAGTCCAAGAAACACCTTCAAGGCCATCATCGCATTAAAGTTGACAGTATAGATAGTATTTTCCCGAGGCAACAAAATGTTGCTTTGGTACATATTTTGTTGGAGATACAACCAGGATCTAACGCCAGATGAAAGATGTGGAGAAGCAGGAGAAGAAGGAAGTAAAGTTTCAATTTCTGCAACACCCCCCCCTCCCCAAACTCACGTGCCCAGGTATGCATCATAAATCTAGAAGTTAAAATTTACAGGAAAAAAACCTCAGCTTCTCCTGTTGAGCAATGAAAGTGGAGATCAATTGGCATGTCATCATTTCTCCTACTAAAGTGACTGAGCGAGCAGCTGTGGAGCACAAAACAGGGAGGAAGGTGGCTGGGTGGGGGAGCGAGGGGTTCGGGGAGGCTCTCCATGACTTGGCTCCTCGAAAGAAAAGAGAAAACAGAGCGAGACTGCAGAAATGAAGGAGGCTTAGAAGGAGGGGTTGCACAAGACAAACACTTCCCGCTGTGGGGCTGAAATGTTATTGTAAGGTCACTTGTAAGGTTCCAGGAAGGCAGGGACCCTTGCCCCCCTCCCACCTACCCACCCACAAGGCTTGCTTCCAGTCACTCCGTCCACTCGCTTTCTTTGGCCAAGGGTGTAACGCAGAAGCTCTGAGAGTGGAGTCTAAACAGTGTCCGGTGTCATCTTATTTAACACCAAGCAACTGCCAATTAACACAAATCTGTTATTCATACGTCTGCTAAATAGTGCAAGTCAGACCAGCGAAAGGCACAAAGTCGATTATCATCTGAATGGTGGCCGTCCCGACGCCTCTGTGCGAGCAGCTCCGTGGGTTTCGCGAAGGTTAACAGGAGCAAAAGGAATTCTATTTAGCTGAACTCAAATCCATTCAGCAGGCAGGAAGAGTGTGTGTGGTCTGAAAACACTCCCAGAGCCAACTGCCCAAACAAACTAATGAGCATTGTACACACACACACACACAGACATGGGGACTTTCTTAAAAAGTAAAAAGAAAGGGGGAAAAATCTGAACATTAGCATACAGCTGAAAGTGGCAGACAATACTTTGTTGAAATTCCACATGAATCTTAATTGAAGTGTCCATTAGAGTCAGTCAATGAGTGGGAGTGCTGCTCACCAGGATTATACGACCCCGCTAAAGTAAACACAGAGTGACCTCCATTATGACTACTTATCACGGCTACGGCTCTTTCCTTTCGTTCCCCTTGGAGAGGTGAAGTCGGACACATTCCTCCCACCAAATGTTTCCTCCTGAACTGACAGGGTCAGCATTGTGCGCTGATAGATTGGGAACAAGGATTGTTATAGCGCTGCTAACATTATTTCCGCGATAGAAACAGAGGGATTTGTAGGCAGGAGGTATATTATTTCCACCTGGTTTAGAGGGGAAGGAGGTGGAGTGGGAATAGTTGTTGGTCTACCTCTGAGGTTTTCCAAATTGCCCCGCGCTCCTTGGATGTCTCATTATCATGACTTTTCTCAGGGTAATTTCAGGCTGCTTAATAAAACGCACGCATATATTCAGAGGCACGAAAGCAGCGCCCATTCGCTCTCGTAACTTCTTCTCACGCAGGCCTACGTGGCACCACCTCAGGAAAAGCGAGTCCCCCGTCTGCTATGAGCTTAAATACACGGCAAATAAGTCCAGTCAAAAGGGATGACGAGGGTTTAAAATTAATTACCGCTGCCCTGTCCAACCTTGGGGGACCACTGCACACAATAATCCATCCATTGTTCTCTGCAAATGGACCCAGCCTCTGTAAATATGGGGCTGTGAAGAGCTGAGAGAGGCTGGGTGGGAGTAAAGGTCAGCTCGAGCCTTGTTTTTAACGACAGCACATTAACTTAACTGACTTCCTTCGACTTTAGAATGGTAATAAATGAGAGGAAATGCAGAGAAAAAGAAGGGGACATGTGTTTAAAAGGGTGGCATTCACTGGTGGACGCGTGGTGTGGGAAACAGAAACGATGCGCCGGACCAGTCGCGGCTTAAAGATGAAGTGCGTCTTCCTTTGACTTCTGCTGTTTGGTGTGGGATGAAAGACAAAAAGGTAACATGAAGCTGATTTTATTTCTAGCACTAAATGAGGCATTAAAGTGCGAGTTGCATAAGGAGGATTAAAAAAACAAACAAACATGTTAAACAGCTTTTCAGCTCTACCCTTTCTCATTCCCCCACCTCGTCTCACCAGCTTGGCCCACAAGCCACTGTTACACCTTCTTACTATGCAGGAATATATATATATATATATATATAAGAGGACTTTGGGGCATTTTGTTGCTCAGAAACTAGCGTCATTACGGTTTAAGGAAATGGAAAATGGTCTGAGAGCCAAAACAGCCTTGTGATTTTAAAAGCCCTTGGCATGCAGTTTATCTCATAGTGCATTCTTGGTATGAAACCATGATGTAACTCTGCTATAAAATGTATATTTTCCAACAGGGTCGCAGAGGAGTTTGCATGCTCTAAACTTTGCCAGATAGCTTTAGAAGTGAAGGAAATACGTGTGGGGTTAAATCACATAAGAAAAAAGGAAAGGGCTAGTGCAGCAGCTTAAAAGGACCACTGTATTTGATGCCTGGTTCTAATTAAAATGCACCAAAATAGTACCATTCATTGTGCACATTGTTAGCTAGCCTCGGTGCATAACAGGGACACCTGGTGCCTCTATTTTTTTCTCCCAGGGTGCATTTCTGCAGATCCATATGTCCAGGATGCTGCATTCCTCGTTTAGCAGAGCCGAACAGTCCCCGGACCTGTCACCACGTTAGAGCTCTGCTGGGACACATCACCGAGCACCTCCTCCAGCTGCTTGGGGAGGCAGAGCAGCACATTTGGGGAGGGGGGACAGAAGGTGCTAAGATGGAGGAAGTGCAGTGGCTACAAGGGGGTCCAGCTGTGACGTTGCAGCACAGAAAGAGGGAGGTCTGTGTGTATATGACTGAGTGTGTATTTGGGGCTCTCTGTGGTACTAGGGCAGGGGGTCCTGGGTCAGATGTCACCTGGTGACTGACAGCAACAGGCTCAAAGTCGTTCACCCAAACTTACTGTCCTCTCAGGTGCACTGCCTGAAGTGTTTAGATAACAGCAGTAAAGTAACACTCCCTACGTGTTTTTACTGTTTCACACACAAGCGAAAAGGGGGCCCGTCCTTTATGATTTCATTTACATTTGTCAACGATGTCATCATACACTGTTAAGTTTTACAGGGACAGCTTAACAGCTCTGCTGGCCTTCGCTTCACTACAAAAGCAGAAGCTTTGAATCAACTACCCCCTCCTACAGACTATATTTCACAGCATGTCAGAGTCAAGCTGTTGCATTTGGACTGTAACACAGAACCCACTGTATCCCTGCTTCTGTTGGTGGAACTGTGGGATATTTACACTTCACAGACTGTCAGGGAACGTACAAAAATCATCTTGCTCAGACTCCTTGCCAGCCGCATATCTGCAATTGTACATGTGTCCCTGCATCTGCAACCACTTTCAGAGAAATTATGAAAAGCAGGCTGCAAATGCTTCCCATTGCCTGACATTAAATCAGCTCAGGACCCATCGGACCTCGGCTCCCCACCGTCCAAACTGGCTTCCCCGTTTTGCTTTGCTCCCTCGCTGACATATGTTAATCTGTAAACACAGAAAATTGCCTGTCTAATCTGATTTAGCCTTCACATCTTGTTTACTTTTGGTTTAGTTGTGCCGTGAAGGCACGGCTGCCACGCTGTGAATGAGGCATTGTCTGCAGACCCACAGATGTAATCTCCCCCTCTAAACCGCCGCCAAGCCTCCCACCCCCGCCTCCTGCCCCCTTCTACCTTGAGCCATGATAGCCACATGCAGGTATTGTACCTATCAGACGCCTCTTGAATCCACTCACACGCTGAGCGGGGAGAATAAAGAAGGCGCTATAGAGCCTGCTTGTTTTGCCAGAGAATAATCTTTGGGGGAAATGTTCTAGTTTTCAGATTTCTCTCATTAAAAACTGAAGCGAAGTTACAAATTCTGCCTCTGGCTTTGACTCATGCCACTGGATTGCATCAGACATGGTTCAGTAGTCGGTGATGGTGGATGAAATCACAGAAATTGTCTCGAGAGCTGTTCACGAGCTGTTGACAAGCTCACTGTAAGTTGTCTTTATAAAGCAGAGTATTGATACTGGCACAAACAACAGCACAGTGAACTGTGGTGAGACTGAGGTTTCCCACTCTCCAGTCGGGGTTACGGTCAAGAAAATATGCACGCACATGAACACACACACAGACACAGGGTGTTGTGAGTCAGGCCCTTTGGCCATCTACTTGAGAGCTGGACTCTTACACCAACTTGTGTTCTTTCACCCTGGGAAGCTGATGGATGATGTTTGTTTGGTTTTGCTATAGCGAATGCACACACACACACACACGCGCGCGCGCGCTGCCATGACTGAAACACACAAACTAGGGGTAGGGGACGGGCTGGTTTGCCCTCTCTCATTCCGCTGTCCTGTGTTGATTTTGGGCTGTGTTTAGAGATTTTTGTGAGTTTTAAGTTTTCCATCTCTTCTCTGCACGACAGCATTCAAAACCCAACTGAGGCTTTCTTCAGGCTCACAGGAAACCAGCCAGTCAGCTTGGTTAATAATGAGCTACGACTGCTGTATAAATGAAAAGAAAAACCCAAAAAATAAATAATTTTAAAAAATGACGCAGCTCACCTCTTACGCAGTCAGTCAGCAAAACAGCCTCAAAGATGAGTAACACAATCTTCAGGATGTCCATGCTGTCCAAAGACAAATTCATCTTCCCTAAACCTGAAAGACACATGCACAAACAGTTACACTGCTGGAGGATATCAAGACATTTGTATACAAAATAGTTTAAATACTATAGCTTGCTTATAAAAGTCCTGACCAAACCTAATATGCACTATATCACTAACAAACTGGAGGTTCCCAAACTAAGACACCTGGGATCTTTTTGTGGTTTATAAGGAAGTTTAAGGATTTTAAAATGAAAACCAAGCAGAATTTATTTAATGGCAACATGAACATATAAAGTTAACGTTAAATAACACAGGATGTGTGCAGTTTTTCCACTCCTTCCAACTACAGGTAGACACCTAGGTTTGGGACTCTACATTAGGGTCAATATTGAGGGTTTAAAAAGTGCTGAATATCTTAATAGCACAGTTATGTATCTAAACGACATATTCAGATACAAAATCAAGGTCTGGGAAAGCGAAGCGTTCATGGAAACTGTTGCTTTAGGCTAGTTTATTGATGTGCTTACAGTAAAATATCCCTCCAGCTGCTCAAATGAAGGTCGGGTGAGAATGCAAATAAAAGTATAAATAGGACTTTAACATACCTTAATATTCAGTGAATTAAGTCAGCCTCGTATCAGCCTCTGGACTGAAATGCTTTTAGCTAAAGTCCGTGTCGAGTCCATGAATCAAAAGTGACAGCGGTCGACTTTCCACCGACCTCTAACAGACCAGCACATGCCTCTCTCCGGGATAAAATAACGGATTCACGGCTGCAATAAAACCGGACACTTCCATAAATCACAATAACAAAGTTTCCAAAGTGTTAGGGAAAAGAAAACTCAGGGAAGTCCAGTCCGGTCCGTGTAGTCCGCTTCATCCACAGAGTGACTTTTCCAGGAGCGCGCACACAGCCGAGACTCGCTGTCCGTCCCAGCGCTGCAGCTGCGGGCCAATCACAGCCTGCAGAGCCCGGCCACGTTTAACTCTTTATCTCTCAAACCAACCTCTTCATTACAGAGCTGTTATCCCACCGCTGTCAGCTCAGCGCACGGGAAAGAGATAACAGCTGCAAACTGTTAAGAAGGATGCCATGCAAATAATGGGCCTTATATAAGCCATTCTATTGTTCTAATATAATATCTGATCAGAAATAAACACAATGAAAACAGTGGAGGGGAACATTTTGATTTTCAGGCTAATGTGCATCCCTGTATGGAGGTCCCCAAGTGCCAAAATGAATCCAATAAATACATCATTAAATAATAACGTTAATATGTCATTAATTAATCAAACTAGGCAATAAATAAATGCATCCATAATTATTTTAAGTAAAAGTGATTTCATTTAAAACACTTAATAAAATATAATGTTTTACTTGTTTCTGATTGTGATTAATTAACGACACGTTTAACCCTCTAGAGTTTAAATCACATGGCCAAGTTAAGATTATATAGTAGCAAGATGCACTCTCACAGAGTCTCTGTTCCAACTTGTGTCAAAACTGTGACTTTTTAGCTTTCAAATTGTGTTGATAGGCCAAGTAAGTCCAGAATAAATATTTTACTCTGAATTCTGTTGTCAAAATTCAAAGCAGGATTTTTTTTTTTTTTGAGGAAACCCCCAGAGCCTATTTGCAGAAAAACGCATCAACTAATCAAAATGTATTTGGTTGCGTAGGAAGAGGGAACAGTTGTGGGAGTGACGGTGGAGAAAAAGTGAGCAATAACAATAGCGAGTTTTCACATCTGAGAGATTGGTGACATTTAGCATGTTTGCAGTGTATACTTCAAATCAAAAGCAGCCACAAACAGCCAGTTGATCACAGAATATTCATTATAAGTTCATTATTTAACTATTACTTCTTTCCCATTTAAATTAATTAATAACAACTTAAATTATTTAATGATATATTTATTTAACTCATTTTGGCACTTGAGGCTCTCCATACTCATGTGCACTAACTCAGAGATGTATTACATGAAGACATTGGTTTTAGCTGTTTTACATAATCCAACTTAAGTTATATTATAAAAAGATACTTTTAATACCTAAATGAATCAATATATAAATTATATTGTTTGAGTATAATTACACCATGATTTTTTTTACTTAGGAGCTACAGCTTTGAAGTAAGTGTCATCATTAATGTAACGGATACCTGGAAATACTGCCGCAAATGCCCAAATTAAATTACAAGCTTCAAAAGTAAAACTTATAGCTCCATACTGTAGCACCCTGTGCTGTGAGTAACACCCATTCAGTATCCAGATACAATGGTGAGAAGCCATGAACATGTGCTGCCACCTACTGGCTACAGATCAGCTTCTGCCATGCTGAAGAATTTCAACTACAATCACTGCTTCACTCAGTAAGTACTTGGAACTTAGGTGTTTTACTGATGTTTTGGCTCTCATCCAGTATTGACAGTCATGTTGCTGAGTTATTTGGCCCTCTAAAGGTACCTTTAAAGAGGGATCTCTTAAGGTTTGGTTCTCATTGGATGCATCATCACCCCTGTTTGGATGAATGGGGTGGGGATGTCCAACATTACATCCCTCTCTGCTAGATGACCCGCCAATGGTTGATCAAATCTCAGCAACAACAAACCATAGGCCTGGTGTCGTAATCCAAACCTACCTGGTAGCTTTCATTCCTCTCCATGTATTCCTTCCCAGGAACAATCAGCTACTTGATCACCTGCTATAGTTAGGAAACTTCAGCTGTGTCCAATATCTGCTTTTAGAAATCCTATAATTGGGCTGGATGAAACTCTGACAATGTGGTACTCAAACTCCATAAAGAAATTCAGTTAAGGAGGATCATCAGTAGGCCCACACTACCCACTCCAGTGCCAGGAATATAAATGGCAAATAGAAGCTAAAATTATTCCAGGCTTTAAATGATGATCTTTACATAATATCAAGACAGACAAATTTCAGCTAGCAACTGTTCCAATCATGGGACGGTTAACATAACATACGCCCTGCAGTTTTTCAGTCTCTATCCGTTCCGTGAATAAAGAGAAGACTACTTTTAAACAGGAAAAAAATCATTTATTTCAATATACATTGCATTTAAAACTATATAACAGTATTTATTCAATATTTTACACAGCTCTCATAATGGAAATGGACTGAAGTTTTAGAAAATAAGACCAAGCTCTGAAATAATATGATATCCCAACCTTTAATTACTGCATGATTCCATGTTTTTTTTTAAAACATAAAGATAATTATAGCTTCATACATTATTTTTGTTCTTTATAAAAGAAAAACCACACCTTTCCAAAGTAAGTTCATATGTTTCTTTGATGAAAATAAGATTGATACAGCAGTATTTAGTGATTCTTAATATGTAAAGCCTGAGGAACTGCTTTAAGCCAGAGCAGAATGGATAGGATGTGATATTTCGTAACAGGTGCTCAGTGGTCCATTTTGGCCACTTGAGAGCAATCAAATGTACAAACCAATATACTGTAGCTATGGAAGATACTGTGTATGCTGTCATTGCTGTGGAAGCAGATTTAAGAGCAGAGAGGAAGTCGAGAGTAAATGACATCAATCTGGGAACAAAAGTAATCTGGTCCTGACCGTCAGTACCACCAGAGGAACGGATGAATATAATTCAGTGTAAACACATATCAGCAAAACATTGCTCTTCCGAAAGGGCCTGTAGATGCATTTCAAACAGCAGAGTGATGTCTCTTAAATGTGGAGGCCCACTGCAATTAGTAGTCACAATATTGCACTATAACATCATGAGAAAGAGAAACCCAGCGAGTATCAACGGGCCTGTATTCCTGTAGGCCAGCACCTGAAAAGGCCTCTGGTTCAAAGCAAATTATACACATTGTGGTGCTAATCAGGGCACTGAGTAATGAGAGGTCAACTCTCCACTAGGGGGCCTTCCAGACCTAACAGTGATGACTAAGAAATCCCTTTTATTCATCTCAGCGTGCAGGAGAGTCCCCGGAGAAAACTCAGTGTGCCGTGGTGCAACAGTAAAAGCAATGGGCACAGCCCATAACCGTGGAGAGGTGAATGGACAGTCTTGTTGAAATTCAGACTCCATCTTACAAAGTGATACAGAATTAGACATTCACTGCCATTAAAAGCATGAAGGAATCTCAATATAAAAGTCGTCCATCGTTCACTTTTGCTTGACTGGGACTGGTGGACCGGTGAAGGTTGCTTTTCAGTTCCAGTGCAGAGCAAATGTTTACTGAAGACATTTTAGTGTTTTTATTACCAGAATTACCGTTATTTACATGTTGATCACAACTTACATTCTTTTGATTAATCCAAGACTCGTGACAGTTCGGGCACAAATATAGGAAGCTCGCTAAAGCATCGGAAATATTTCACAAAGTCCTTTCATTTACACCGGAAGCTAAAAAACGAAAAGGAAAAATAAGAAAGAAGAGGGGAAAAAAGGAGGCCTGTTTCGATTTTGCTACAGAGGACTGCTGCACAATGCCAGTTTAATATCTGTTATTGCCAGCTTTTCCTCTTTCCTGTTTTTAAAAAACATGTACAGGCATTTGTGCATCATGTGGGTGCAGAGAAACCTGCTGACACACCAGAATCTCTTAGAAATATTAAATCGGAATTCGGTGGCTTTTTGTCTGGAATTTCTGACGTGTCATCTTTGAATGGCCATGCTTAGCTGGTACAATTACGACCATTAGGGGTTACCCGAGCAGTGCTGCTTTTGCTTTGTACACAGCTTTCTGTCTGTTGCATATCTCCTTGTTGTGGCAGACTGTGCATTCGCATGGTTTTCTGAGGTCAGATGCCCGCCTTGTCACTGTAGAAGGGCGTGACATGGAACATGTAGCAGTGTGTGCAGACCCTGACAGGCTTCACCTGACCGTATCGAGGCAGCGGAGCAGAATGGGAAGAGCAGCGAGAGCAGAAGATCTGAAACGACACATCATGCAGCGTATCACTTACCATCCACATGATAACGCATGAATTATCAGTTTGATCGAGTTCACGTTAAACCGAACAGATCGTACCTTTCCGCAGCTTCTACAGTGATGTTTCCTGCGGATAACAGTGAACGGAGCCTTGCAGGCAATGCAGGAGTTGCAGGCTTCATCAGGGACCCAGTCAGGAGGGTCTGCACAGAGCCAAAAAGAAACAGTAAACACAAAGCAGAGCTGTCACCAGCTTAACGTTTGCTGAGAGAAGGAGAAAGGAACTGGCTGACATTTCAAAAAAAATCTGTGTGGGTCTGTTTGTGGATTTGCTGACCTTCGAACTGGCCCTCACGGGCCTTGGCTGCCAATTCCGATGAGGAAATGGTCTCCTGACACAGAGCACAGTCCTCCAGGACTGCGCTGCGCATAACAGGCCCCGCTGAACACCATAAAAGAAGAAATGTGTGTTGTGTGACTGATTGTTATTTAGTTTAACAGCTCAGTTATAAACAACAGTGCAAAACTGCTGTTAGCAAAGACCCTATAGTGTTTTCTAAGCTGTTTACACATATGAACTTAATTAACTGTTAATATGAAACAGTAATGGGAGGATGAAGTGACTAGATAATGTGACTAACAGCATGCAATTTAAGATTGCACTGCTGTGTCCATTACTGTGCAAGCTGTCCTTTTATTACATTTGTCATCAGCTTGTTTTGGGCCAAGCACCTGGTTCTGTTTTGATGTGGTTGTGTATTTTTCTTGTGATTTTTTTTAGCATATTTTTCCAATATGACACAACCAGAAAAAGCCCCACTAAAACACTGCGTGTACTAGGGAGCTGGCAGTGTAAAAAGACATGCCTGATGTGCACTTGCACCCCTGTCAGGTGCCATCTAGAAAATTTTGGGGCGACAGTGCAGGCCTAACAGCTTTATTCAAAGAAAACAGAACTCGAGGAAAATTTAACTCTACAGCTTTATATAATGAAACCAGGGCATATTCCTTACAAAGACCCAGCTACCACCATTTTTCGTCAGTTTCCAACCATGCCATAAAGAGCTAAAATGCTAGTAACATTTGCTATTATTTATTTATGTTGCATCTAACTGAGACTTTTGATGCAAATATCAGGTGTTGCAAATGTGGCAATGAGGATAAAGAGAATAGCAGTATTTGAACATGCTCTCCAGTGACTACATTTGAGGATTTTTGTTTTTCAAATGGGGATTAAATCCCATTATAATGGGATTAAACTATTATTTATTTATTTATTTTTAAACAAGCAATTTTTCACAATCAGAAATGTGTTCTGTTTTATGTTAAGCAGCTTTTTTTGCTCACTTGGGGGTGCGCACCTATCACTGTTAATTTAGAGTAAATTTTTTTCACATGGAGCCTCATTAGGGAAACATCAGGCTCATTAAGTAAGGTGGTAGGTATGGTGTGTTTTTAAAGAGCTTTTCACTGAAAGCAGCTGCCTTCAGAAAACGATGCTATTCGAGTGAACAATGACCACTCTCCGCACATAATTAATGCAAGCATTCATTTTTACACTGTCACACGATCCATAATCCATTGTTTTGATTAAAAGAAAATCATATTGTGGCCACTGGTTAAATCTTTATAAGAAAGTTTAATCTTTTAAGCAATATGACTAAATACTAGTTACTACTTCTGCTTAATTCAAAAGGCTATTTTGACTTCAGTCTTTAGTCTGTTAAAGAGAGAAAGCAAAATATTGTAACACTAAAAATATCTCATAATCAAAAAACACCTTTCTGACCTTTCTTCTGCTTATCATTGTCTCCTTCCTCACACTTGGTTGCCATGACTTCAAAAAGAGTCTTGAGGATGCTGCGAAGGTCACTCGCATAGTTGGTCTGCAGCTGATCAGCAACACCTGCATCACACAAAAACACAGAATGGAGATCAGGCCAAGCAAGAAAAAGAGGTGAGTAGAGAGCGAATCAAGAATGAGAGCTTTTATACCTGATATACAGACAAAGAGACGGTGGATGAGGTCGCTGCTGCTGTGGAAACGAGATCTGATCTTGTTTCTGGTCGCTGCTTTGGCAACTTGTACGGCCAGCTGGATCTCCTGCTGGTCCGGGTCTTCTGATGTCCCTGAGCTGGGAGTCAGACTGCTGACAGGACTGAAGGGAGCGGTGAGACACAGTGAAGGATCATCAATTAACATCTGTCCCCAAACGTCCATACATCATTTTCACAGTCAGTTTACATCAATAAAAGCAGATTTCCATATTTAAAGTGGACCAATTATCCTTTTCCTGATTTTCCTCTTATATATGCATACAAATTCACTATGTACGAGACATCCTGAGAGCCAAACGGTTCAGTTTGCTCTTAATGCTCTGCTTCTGTTTTCTTTTTCTATTCTTGAAAACTGCACAATGTAGATGAGAGTGGATACTCATAATATAGTCACTTCTGGTACACAGCTCTGGCTGTGACAACAGCACCCCTACAAAGCCTTAGTTCAAACCTTCTGTTTGCAAGAGGCAGCCAATCAGAACAAAAGTGGAGTTGCCTTAAAGTGAGAGGAGCTAAAAAAAAAGCTTGATTTAGACAGTAAATTAACTAATGGTCCAAAATAAAATAAATGAGGACCATCTTAACTTTGCAAAGCTACTCTGGTGGAGTCCAGGAATAAAATCTTTGAAGCTCCACTTTAATACAAAGTGGAAATAAATGCACAATAACACCATTTACTCTGCCCAAATTAACAAATGCATCATTTTTTTTTAAAATTAGCCATTAAAGGTTTCTTTAGTTACTGTGAATGTGAGCAGGAAGTAAGCACAAACATGAGACAGACACACATTGGGATGAATGATTTGTTACCTGGGTGTATATGCACTGCTCGACAGACTACATGTGGTGACCGACACACTCTCACAGTCACTACCTGACACAGAGCTGAGTGGAGAGTTCTGAAAACTAAAAATAACCAAATACAGAAATTCATGCATATATATAAAGACTTAAACAAAACAAACGGATATGAATATTAAGAGAAAAGAAAGTGGAAAATTGTGATGAATTAAGGAAAACAAAACAAACTGGATATGTGTTAATGGAGCATGGAGGAGTCCATGTTCGCCACATAAAATATTGTAAAATGAAACTGAAACACACCTGGAGCTTCTCCTGTTGTCCTCTTTGGTGTACCTCTTCATATCCTTATTTTCTGGATTTTCGTTATCCATCTCCTTGTCCCTCTGTCGGCCGCCACTAGCATGTCTTTTTTCAGTCCTCAGCTGGTGATTACATGGGGAGGCTCCATTTCTGACACTAGAGCTACAATCCTGAGCCTGGTGTCCCAGCCCAGGAGCCTCTTCCAGCGGCTCTGCAGAGCGGGAGGAAGGAGGGCTCAAATGGGCCACGTCGTCCTTATTGTTGTGTTCGTGAGGACGAGGAGGGAGCCGACAAGCAGAGGACTGAATGACAGCGCTGGAGGCAGGCGTCGTACAATGTTTGTCCAATCCCAGAGCGAGCCCTAAACCGAGTCCAGTAGTCTCTGTGGTGATGGCATCCTCGTGGCCATCTTCGCAGCTGCCACAGCAGACGCAAGAGTTGAGCAGGCAGTGAGTGGCCACCAGGGGGCCACAGGGCTCAATCTCAGAGGGAGTAGGCCGAGGTAGCAGCAGCTTGTCCACAGCCAGTTCTGTCAAGCTGGGTGAGTGAGGGTTGAAGATGACTGTAGCAGACAGCTTCATGCCTCCCATACGATGGGCGATGACTTCAGCTGTTTCAGACGCTGTCCCCTCTAAACCCATGTCCCACCCATTGGTGTAAGGCAGAGGTTCTGAACCAGGGACATTAGTACAAGGGGGACACTTTGCAGTTGGGCAGTGTGTGTTCAGGTTGCGTGGCTGTGGACAAGGCTGCTCAGATGTTGTCTCAGAAAACCAGCCGTTCCTAACAGAGTCTTGCCTCGGTGCGAGCTTGCGCTGCACAGGACGAGCAGACTCTTTGGGAGGAGAGGTGACATAACAGCGAGGCTCTCTGGTGATGTGTTCTCCTGCTGCATCCAGGTCCTCCATGAAGAAGACCCTGTCTTCCTCCTCTGTACAAATGCCCGTCCTTCCTCGGCTCCCCAAGATTCTGCGTGGAGAGACCTCCGTGCTGGAAACCCCACTGGAGCCTGCAGGCTGTCCTCTGTTGGGATCGTGGGCTGGAGATTGACCCTGGCTGGGAGGCGACAGCAGAGTCGACATCTCGTCTCCCACGCGGTACACCATCATGTTGAGCTGCTCCAGTTCCTCCTCATCGTACTGCATGGAGCATGCCAGCTCAGCCTCCTCTGCCTCCTCACAGAGTAAACCCTGCTCCTGTTCCTCCTCTCCCCTCACAGTTTCCACCTCCTCCCAGCCTTTTTCCACTCCTGCCAACTCTTCCTCCTGACTGGGACAGACAAGCACAGCCGGTGGCTCCTCTTCTCCCTCACTCCCCCTTTTGGAGATTTCATTAGCAGGACTGCAGGACGAGTGATTCTCTTGGACTGGAGCTGGTACGCCGTTTGTGGCCAGCGCCTGGCTTGTGGACAACTCCCCTTCTTGAGAAATGCACAAGTTTCTCTCTAGCATCATCAACTCCTCCTCAGTCAGGGTCTGGAGCAGGTCTCTGAAAAAAGCAGCACAGGATAGCTGGAGCATAGTGATAAACTGTGAAAAAATACATTTGTTGCCATGTTAGATATTCATGGCTTTTACCTTATTTTCTTCAGTAAAGTGCGAAAAGGCCTGAAGAGCTCAGACATATCCTCTGATTTTCGGTCTAGGTTGAGAGGTCCCTCTGGATACACAACCAGCCCACTAAAAACATGTTTAAAATTCTGTAAGAGGGTGCAAAGGAATGGAAAACAAAGAGGGCAGTGAAAGGACAGGCAACACTTACCACACAATGGCCAGTCTGGGAATTGTAAACATCAGTGCGGGTTCATAGTCATCAATCATGTCCTGTGTGAGATAGCCCAACTTTAGGGCCCTGAAATAAAAAAAAAGTAGTCAAATTAACCGCATCATCTCTGTGTGGTATTTCACAGAAGAGGATTATTTAGCAGAAAAATGTCTGTCTATAAATTCACCTCTCCACAGTCTCACAGAAGAGCACAATCACCTCCTGCTGTACATAGTATTCTTTGGGAGACTTCACAGGCACCATGGCTGACACATAGCTGCCAGTGGAAGAAAACAGAAAGTGGAACGTAATGACTTTTTGGCACACTTGCAGAAATATCATCAAGTGGACAATAAATCCAGATTAACCCAGTGCATACCATTGATAATAAAGTCTTGTCTCTATTTTTACCTGAGCTCAAACTCAGCAAAAAGGCTGTCAAAATGTCGCAATGCGTCCTTCATGCGGTCTGTGTACAAGTTGAGGTCTCGCAGGGCCTGGTCTCTGGTGATGTTGCGTACCTCCTCCAAGCTGCGAGTAAGATCCTTAGCTAGGGGTCTCATAGCTATGCTCTCTATCTCCCTGTTCATGATAATGGAGCCTGCAGCCAAACACTGGACAGGAACAAGCAGAGACAATATAATTATGCACAGAGAATTAAATTGTTTACGATGGCACACTTGGCATTCAAAAAACTCAGTGTGTGAAAAAAAAAAATTAAATATCATTTTGTTTTGAGCCAGAGAAAGGTCATTTTTTTCCCAGATTGATGAAGTTGTGAATACACTACCTCGGCTCCAAACCACAGTTGCCCTGCCAAGTTGTCATGACGAATCTCCTCGGGGAACTTGACACAAAAATCTCTGTTGGCCCGGTCGAAGGGGATACATTCATCCATGATCTGACTGATGATGTTCAACACGTTGTCCTGCAGATGAACACGGGAGTGACAGAAAACTAAATTGAACTAGTGGCAGAGAAAAACACGAGCGAGTGAAAGTCTGTTCTTGAAAAGCGTTCTTTTGTTTTGTTTTGTTTAACTAATCTTGGTCAATAATCCGTGCTTAAACATCGGTCACCCTTTCAAGAAGGCCATTATAGCGCAGTGTCTGAGGACCATTGATTAGGACGTGAATGGGAACAACTTGACAAACACATGAGACCATTATGGCCCTCACAGCTACATTTTCCTTCAATAAAAACATTGAACTAAAGCCCATAATTCCAGCAGTGAAAATGCACTGTCACATACAACAAGAGCTAATCAAGAGCTTATGTGCCGCTGGCATGTACAACAGCCATAACAATGACTTACAATGAGCCTTTCACTCAACCGCAGCTGCACTGTGCACTGTAATCTTGTCGGGCACAGCACTGCGTCTTTCTCTGCTCGCCCCGAGGAGAGAGATTAAAAAGCTTTGAGAGGGAGAGCTTAACCACTGATTCCTTTATGGCTGTGTTCTGCACATGTGTCTGGGGCCGATCCAAGTGCCACCTCAACGTCTGTGAGCGCCTCCCAGCAGGGGACACTGGTGATAACCTTCACTTATGTTTGTTTCCACGTATTCAGGAGTTGCGACTGCAGCGACACCCTGAATATGACACAAGACTAGCTTCCTTCCTCCTTTTTTTTTTTTAAGCCCATCTCACTCTCCTTATTGTCCTCATCTGGCCTCTTCTCTGCCTGTCTCAATCTTTGTCCATTTTGAAAGGCACACGCACGCCTGTTCCAGCAGGCCACACTGTAAGAACAGCAGTGCCAACATAATGTGAGCAGCATGCCAGCAACCCCCGCAGAGGTCCATGAATAAGAGCTGATAGCTGCAGTGGCAGGTTCAAGCACAACATTTTGGCTTGAATGTACTTGCTTTCTATTCTTAGGGCCTCTGGGCTATGGGGTATCATGCTGCTTCAGTCATTCTCAAAAAAACCTTAATGCCTTTGAGAGAAGCCACTCTAAAAAGCCTCCTCTCTAAATGTATAAGTGCTTAGGAATGGCTGTTAAATATTTTCATTGAAAAAAATCAGAGACTAATTAAAAATCAGCCTAATTGAGAATATCATGGAGAAGAAAAAAAAGGTGGCAGCACGGCAGAGGGAAGGATGGAGAGGAAAGAGAACAGTCGGGGATCAAGTGATGACCTTATTAGGTGGTTCTCCCCGTGCGCTCTGCCAGTGGGGAGGAGGCTAAGGCACAACAGGTCACATGAAAACCTCCCCTACCACCTCTAGGTCTTTCAGCATGACGCAGCATAGCAGCCATCACTCATGCCCAGCATCACCCGCTAATCTCCTCTCAGCCTTGACCTCATGAAAACCTGCAACAATGCGCTGCACGAGCACATAAATAACCCACCATGAATTCACACCTTAAGATTCTTGTTCTGTGGCTCAGATTCAACCTGATTTATATTCAGAAGATTAAAATGAGACCAATAAACCAACTCTAATCCCAAAAGGAAATCATCTCAGGTTATAAAATGCCTCTTTCTAAAGAAGCCACTCCGGTAATCATTTACAGAGAGCCCACATGACACAGGGCTCTGTGTTATCAGAGCAAAGTTAACTGTGTCAACTGATGGCTTCCAAGCAAAGTCTACTTATCTCACTTATCAGCAAGACTATTTCATGCAGTGTTTACTAAGGCAACAGTCATACCACCGCGCCTGTGTCCGGAAAGGGATAATAGTGGCTGTCTTTATTTTTAGTTGAGAGGCCAAATCAGGTTAGAGTCAGGAAATCATGTCAATTACATTAAAACAAGCAAAGGAAATCAAAACCAAACCCAAAATCGGGGTTAATTTACCTAAATTACAGATTCGCGTATCTACATGCATTGCTTGTAATAAAAGACAGTGAAAGTTTTGCTTGTTATCTGCCAACCTGACAGGATCTGAACTGGTTGACCAGCAGGGTACATCTCTGAGGGTCCTTCCTGCCGTCAAGACTATCCAGCTCTGTGGCCACCTGGTTCAGCTCTTCATCGGCGTAATAGAACTGGGCCAAGAGCTGAGGGTCTGTCCTCTGCACAGAAACACAAAGCAGTCGTTTCAGTATTTGACAATCAAAGCAAGGCAATGTAAATGGCATAAGCTTATATGTTTCAATTACTTTATGATGTGTATCTATCCTTTTATCACTGACTGTTATTTCTTACCATCGTTCATCTATAGAGATTAGGGGTATTATTTCTATTCACTTCTGGGTTTAACTATTGTGCCTCATCCATCACATAAAGCCTCTTCTCACTTTTTGATAAAGGTAGCCTTAGCTACAAAATTAGCATATTAGTATTATACTAGTATATTAGCATTTTCTGCAAATAATATAATATAATTGGCCATCTTTAGGCATATTTGAGTATTCTGGGTATTAAAACATAAGCACTGAATGGAATTATTAGAGACAGAAAGCATTTGAAATCATCCTGAGTGACACTGATCCCCCAGAGCAGTAGTTTCTGAATGTTACTCTGTCAGACAATTAAAAAACCATGAAGTGTTCATTTAATATTTTAGTGAATGTCTTTCATTTAGTAAACATTATTAACTTAGCGGCAAAGCAAGCAGTTCAAAAAGGTTGAGCACCCCAACTGGTTCTGGACGGGGCACAAGGCACAAAGTCATCTGACCTAATCGTACATGTCATAAAAAGCACAGTGTTTACAGAAGAAATCACTATACGTGAAAGCAAACAACAAAACCTTTACTAGAAACAATACAGACAAGGTAAAGCAAGGATTTGGAAGTCTTCAGACACTTTGGTAAGATGTTTGACTCCTGACCCAGATGTTGATATATAAAATATGTCACGTAACTGTTGTGTTTTTACTTTCACAACAGTCGCTGATATCATCTACCCATGCATTTTCTTAACAGCTTATCTTCTTCAGGGTCACGGGGAGCTGGACCCTTTTCCAGCTGTCACTGGGAGAAAGGCAGGGTAAACTCTGGACAGGTTGGCAGTCACAGGGCTAACAGCATGATCGCTACCGATGGCTTTTGTGATCATTCTTATGAAGATACATACACTCAAACTGACTTTAGCATTCAGTGCACACTTTATGGTTATGTCTTAGTGTTAGCCTGGATTGGATTTAGACAGACACTCATGCATCTTACCACAGGCCTTTTTCGCAGCAACCCTCTCACATTAAGCAGCAGGGAAACACAGGTGTTACTAACGACAGTGGCGAAGGTTCTGCTCGGGTTTAAATATGATTAATAACACCTGTGTTACCTAACCGCTCATAACAAAATTGGTGCTGTTTAAAATGCCCTAACAATAAAACACAAGAAGTCATCCAATAGCGGCCATTGTGTTGCGTTTATCAGACATTTGTTACTAAAAAACAGAAAAATTGACGCTCTGCTCACTTAACAAAGCGCTACGGTTATACAGCTGAAGCTAAACAAGATTTTTGGATGGATTTGTTGGGTCGGTGAGTCACTCACACTCAGGGTTTGAAGGGGGAATTTCTAACAGCTGAGCAAAAAAACAAAACAGATTTCTAGCTGAAAGATGATGTCACGATTCAAAATGGATTTCCTAATTATATTACTTTCATTACAGGGTGTAGATCATTATTCATCATTCTATGCTCTCTCTCTCTTGTTAACTGTATGCATTGAGCCTTGTGTTTGGTTGATTATTACTGATTATTATTTCTCCTTAAACATGGCAACATTTAAGGGAATTAAGTGGAATAAGATTTATTGCCAAGAAGCATAGTTACAATAAAGAACCACCCTGCAAATAGAAAGGAAACCAAGTAAAAGTAATAAAAAATATTTTCTAATTTGCTCTTCAACTCTTTACTGAGGAACTAATAATCAAGTAAGAGAACTGTATGTTGTATTCATTCATTACCACCTGTAGACTGCACAGTGGATTTCTAGGTATAAATACATTTTGTTCTCTATCTTACCACTTTCTGCGTAGGCTGTACAAGTCAGTGGTATACTGTATTAAATCTCTGTTGTTATTAACGTTGTTTTACCACTTAACCTTTTGTTAACAGGTGGAGTGTTTATGTAAACGTACTTTGTACCCAGCTGTCAATTTAACGCTTCAAGGCAACTTTTCATTTCTCATACAGGAGCTAATCTCACACGAAAGGAGCAAAATAAAAAGAGCACAACAGAGGGAGAAGTCACGCCAAAGCAATTAAGCACTAACAGGACACAGAGGACGTATAACAAACCAACATACTGCTGATCTTTAGGGACAAAAATAAAATCAGGTAAGTAGGGCGCTGTAAAGGCCAGCGTAACGCAGGTTGCTGAGATTGATTTGTGAGAAATACAATAGAAATTCATATTCGTACATACGCACATTTCACAAACACACATGAGGAAATAAATGACTAACCCTGCTAAAATCGAAACAAAAGGAGCTAACAAAGGTTTATAAGCAATGCTGTGCAAAAGTCTTGAGCCACACCTTATTTCTTTAGGTTTTCTTAGGAAAATAAGAAATCTGAGCAGTGTTTAGAGGCGCAAACATATGAAGGGCATTCAGAGTTGTTCTTCCAAGTTTGGCCACATTTTCTGTCCTCTATCAAGATGATCCAACACTGCTTCAATAATGCTGAACTTGGGGCTCCTGTGTGTGTATTTTTTTTCCTATCCAGGAACAATTTTACTCCATTGGCAGTGCATTTGGGGTCATTGTCATATTGAATAATGAATCTGTTGCTTTCCAGATCGTACTGTATGGTGGATCCAATCTGACAATAACTTTTCTGCACTCATAATTTTAATTCTGACAAGATCCCCAACATGACTGGCTGAAAGACAGACCCAAACCATGACAGAGCCTCCACCGTGTTAGAGATGGCTACAGACACTCACTGTTGTACCCATCTCCTGATCTCCTCCATACATTTGACCCAGAAATTAACATTTTGGGTTCATCACTCCATAAGACATGTAACCACTGATTTTCACTCCGGTTATTGGGCCATGTATCCAGTCTTTGCTTAAAGACTTGACTTTCAGATACTGTTCAACAACCTTTCATAGTTTTCAGCCCTGTCACTTCTTTGTGCCACGATATGTCATGTTTTCAGATAATATATCTTTGGGAATTACAATGTTGGTGCAAAAACTATTTCACGCCCATCAAACTGTGTTAAAACTGTGAAAATAAAAACGTTTTGAAATACCCTCAGAAAGCATGGAAAACTAACTAAACTGCTTAAGGCAACTTAAAGAAATTACAAGAAATTTTGGCTCCTTGGAAGAAAAATACAAGGAAATGAGGAGTGGCGCAAGACTTTTCCACAGTACTGTGGTATAAAAGCTCCCTGGAAGAGCAGGTGTAATTAGAGAGCCTAGCGCTGGTGGATATCTCCTGCCATGCGCTCTTCACTGTGGCGAAAACGCACAACACAGCAAATCACTTCAAGGCTTAGCGCGAAGCACACACACACAGCCACAACACACCAGGCAGAAAAAGATACGTTAAAAAAATGGAAACACAACAACGGTTCATCTATAATTGCAATTCAAACTTAACTGGACAATCCAGATACCAAATTTCCATTTCAAGTGTGCACAAACGCATACACACACATCCTGCGAAGGGCTTCTGTTAACCAAAAGGTTAATGGTTCTGAAAACGGCGACCACATACCGATGTGCATCATCACAAACCACGCAGCCTCGGTGATGGCACAGGAGCTCAAAAGGCCAGCATGACTGTGCAGACCGGAAGCAGAGAGAGCTGCACCAGTAAACATTTGCCTGCCGTGCACTGACTGGAAGTGTTTTTTTATGACGTGAAAAACCAGAGAATACTGGTATTTATCGGAACCTCTCACAGGATCTTTTCCCTTAAGTTTGCAGTGTTTCCTGTTGCACGATGCTCTCCCCATGGAGGCGTGCTTCTCTCTCTCTCTCTGAATATGATACATGGTGCTGTTCCCTCAACCTCTTGCTCATTAATAATGAAACAAACAGCAAGAAGAAAACAGAGATATCTCCTACAGCTGGGTCGCATTATTACTGCGAGGTGGAAAAACTACTGTGAACATGCTGTTCTAGAAAGGTTATTAGCAGTAACCAAACACGTCCCGGCAATCCTAATTAACACGTAGCGCACAATAAAAGAACATTTTGTACATTTTTTTTGTCAAGGTCAAACTTTTATTAGATGGCAATGCAATCACAAGGAAGATAATGTGTCTTTCCCAGGTAAAGACCCATGTTAAGATGACTGGAGAACAGCGGCACTAAAGTGAAGCAGATCAGCATTTCAATTCGAGCTTAGGGCTCTTTCAGGAGGGCAGATGTTTGTCATTGCCAATACGACACCCACTTTGTATCCAAACACAGCTTTTCAACTTGCTATGAGTAAAATCAATAATATCCCAGCACATTTTGTTCATGTGTGTGAATTTTTATGCAATGTTTTATATGCCGTGTTATGTTTACTGAATAAGATGGAAGCAGGGAGCAGAGAAGGCCATACAAACACACATAACTGAGTCTGAGCATGTTTCTCTGTCTTAACAAGGTTGCTTTACACCCTACTTACATAGACTATAAATGAATACATGATAAATCCAGGGTAATACTAAAAATAATTCATGAATGAAAATGTTTTCAGTGACTTCAGTCTGTTTATGAGGATAAAAACACCCAAATTATGAGAAAAATGGTAGATTTATACAGGAAAAGTCAGATCACTGAGACTAAAGGCAGACTTCTGGGGGGGAAAGCCATTAAATGTTAGTAAAAGTCATAATTCTAAGATTATCAAGATTTTTTTAGTGGTCCAAAGTTGAGTGAGCATTTTTTACAAGCACTCTTTAAATCTTTAAATGACCGTTTGTTCAACCATTTGTTCAAGTGACAAAACAGTTTAGGAAAGAAGAGAAGATGAGCTTTACAGAGATAAGCTGTGTATCACGGTAGCACAAAGTAATCACTGCTATCTTAACACTGACAGAAAATCCCCAGCTCTGCCTAGTTTTTACCATGTGAGCTTCACATTAACTTACTCCTTGACTATGTTGGGAGGGAGAGAAAATTCATATGGTTCCTGAAAGATGAGATAAGTCCATCAGGTCTGCATGAAACTTGGGTGATAAAGGGTTAAAGGGAATATCATCTGATACTGATGTTTAGCTAATAAATAATGTGTATCTGGAATGAATTTTAGGTCTCTACGTCCATCCCATGGGGAATGGGAGCAAAAACAAAAGTGTTGCGTTTATATTTTTGTTCAGTGTATGTATATATATACAGTGGGGCAAAAAAGTATTTAGTCAGCCACCGATTGTGCAAGTTCCCCCACCTAAAATGATGACAGAGGTCAGTAATTTGCACCAGAGGTACACTTCAACTGTGAGAGACAGAATGTGAAAAAAAAATCCATGAATCCACATGGTAGGATTTGTAAAGAATTTATTCGTAAATCAGGGTGGAAAATAAGTATTTGGTCAATAACAAAAATACAACTCAATACTTTGTAACATAACCTTTGTTGGCAATAACAGAGGTCAAACGTTTACTATAGGTCTTTACCAGGTTTGCACACACAGTAGCTGGTATTTTGGCCCATTCCTCCATGCAGATCTTCTCGAGAGCAGTGATGTTTTGGGGCTGTCGCCGAGCAACACGGACTTTCAACTCCCGCCACAGATTTTCTATGGGGTTGAGGTCTGGAGACTGGCTAGGCCACTCCAGGACTTTCAAATGCTTCTTACGGAGCCACTCCTTTGTTGCCCGGGCGGTGTGTTTTGGATCATTGTCATGTTGGAAGACCCAGCCTCGTTTCATCTTCAAAGTTCTCACTGATGGAAGGAGGTTTTGGCTCAAAATCTCACGATACATGGCCCCATTCATTCTGTCCTTAACACGGATCAGTCGTCCTGTCCCCTTGGCAGAAAAACAGCCCCATAGCATGATGTTTCCACCCCCATGCTTCACAGTAGGTATGGTGTTCTTGGGATGCAACTCAGTATTCTTCTTCCTCCAAACACGACGAGTTGAGTTTATACCAAAAAGTTCTACTTTGGTTTCATCTGACCACATGACATTCTCCCAATCCTCTGCTGTATCATCCATGTGCTCTCTGGCAAACTTCAGACGGGCCTGGACATGCACTGGCTTCAGCAGCGGAACACGTCTGGCACTGCGGGATTTGATTCCCTGCCGTTGTAGTGTGTTACTGATGGTGACCTTTGTTACTTTGGTCCCAGCTCTCTGCAGGTCATTCACCAGGTCCCCCCGTGTGGTTCTGGGATCTTTGCTCACCGTTCTCATGATCATTTTGACCCCACGGGATGAGATCTTGCGTGGAGCCCCAGATCGAGGGAGATTATCAGTGGTCTTGTATGTCTTCCATTTTCTGATGATTGCTCCCACAGTTGATTTTTTCACACCAAGCTGCTTGCCTATTGTAGATTCACTCTTCCCAGTCTGGTGCAGGTCTACAATACTTTTCCTGGTGTCCTTCGAAAGCTCTTTGGTCTTGGCCATGGCGGAGTTTGGAGTCTGACTGTTTGAGGCTGTGGACAGGTGTCTTTTATACAGATGATGAGTTCAAACAGGTGCCATTCATACAGGTAACGAGTGGGGGACAGAAAAGCTTCTTACAGAAGACGTTACAGGTCTGTGAGAGCCAGAGATTTTCCTTGTTTGAGGTGACCAAATACTTATTTTCCACCCTGATTTACGAATAAATTCTTTACAAATCCTACCATGTGAATTCATGGATTTTTTTTTCACATTCTGTCTCTCACAGTTGAAGTGTACCTCTGGTGCAAATTACTGACCTCTGTCATCATTTTAGGTGGGGGAACTTGCACAATCGGTGGCTGACTAAATACTTTTTTGCCCCACTGTATATGTATGTATGTATGACCTTCGGTTAGCCATTCCGGGTGTCTCTCGTTAACTAGCAGCTGGTTCATTTGTGCTGCCAGACGCTCGTGGAGTGCAGTCAGCTTCTTTAGCCAGTAGGCGTGAACCATGTCGGGCCCTGGTGCTGTCCAACTCTTCATACTGGAGACCCTTTCTTGGATATCTGCCACTGTGATGGTTACTGGACCCTGTTCAGGGAGGTCGCTGTGGTCTGCCCTCAGATCCACAGCCACTGAGCATTGCCGTTATGGGTTGCGTCCTTCTCCCATATGCTCTTCCAGTATTGCTCCGTCTCCAGCCTTGGTGGTGCTGTTCTCTTATTGTTCCCTTGCCACTGAGAGTACACCTTTGCTGGTTCTGTGGAGAACAGCTGGTTTATTCTCCTGCCTTCTATCTCTCTGGTGTACCTCCTCAAGCGGCTGGCCAAGGCTGTGAGTCTTTGCTTGGCAGTTTCCAAGGCCTCAGGTATGGACAGCTTGCTGTATTTCTTATGCACCTTCTTTGTCGCACCTTTCTGCAACTCCGTTAGTTGGCTAACCTCCCTCCGTGCTACTTTGATCTTGCCCTCTAGCCTCCTTCTCCATGGAGGGTACTGCCCCTTGTGGCTGTTCAACTTGTAGCCAAGCATCTCACTATATATATATATATAAACTAAGTGTTCGAAGCACTAGGTGCGTGACTCCCAAGCTAGGCGAGTGGCTCCAGCAGATCGCGGGAATAACATCGGAGATCTCTGTCCAGAAGAGCGCAGTCCTGGGAACAGCTAAGATACTGCGCAGGACCCTCAAGCTCCCAGGCCTCTGGTAGAGGACCCGAGCTTGAAGGATAAACCGCCCGCAGGGGCGTGCTGGGTGTTTTTTTTATATATATAAACTAAGTGTCTCTGAATGTGTAGGCTAATGGTAAATGAACACAAACGAAATATTATTCATACAGGAATACAGCCAAATGATCGCAAGATGAGGTATTTATCCTCTTTGTCTAAATTCGACCTCTGAACAGAGAGAAAAGCTGTGACATCAGCAGTGGCAAGACAGGCCAGTTCGACTGGACAACTGAACAACAATGAGCGAGCTTATGATACAAATGTCAATGACCAAACAGGAAACAGGAGTGGGGGACAGTGAAAGACCTTTTTCTAGTCCGGACACAACACTTCTCACAGTCTGCCGGCATTCAGTTGGAGACTTTCTGAAGGATATAGGCCAACGCTGAAGAAGGAAGAAAAGAAGTGTTTGAGACAGACACCATGCTATAGCCTCCTCCTGCTGCATTCCTCACACAAGAGGAAACATTCCTGCAGCATTGCATCATGGGGGATAAGTCAAAGGCAAGCAGTGTTCACGGCATGCTGATTTAGGTAAAGGCAGGAATGCGTGAGCTGTTTGGTCTACAGAACCACACAGCATTGAATAATAATTTAATAAGAGTTAGTACAAAGGTATAAAAGGACTGAATTTCATGCAGTGTAGACGTCTGCATCAGCCCCGTTTTCTGACACTAGTGTGAAAACCTTTAAAACAGCTGCACCAGCTCAAGTGAATTTAAATTTAGTTGAGTTATAATGTGCTACATGTGAACAGACACAACATTATCGGACTAATGCAGCCATTACAAAGACATACCGACTACAGCAGCCCATTTTCAAAACCTGAAAATCTTCTGCACCAAAACCTTTAATTAATCTCATCTCATCCATTTTAGCCTTTTGACCTTTTAACGTTTTGTTTGTTTGGGTTGATTCTCTATTTAAAGCACTTGAAAACCACTTTATGTTCTTTTCATTAGTAATGAAATACAAGATGAGGTGTGATGGTTAGCACTCTTTCCCAGATTCAAATTCAGGCAGGGGCCTTTCTGTGTTGAGTAAACATGTTTTCTCTTGGGGTAACTCACTTCATCCCACAACCCAATGACATACATGGCTTCATTAATTGGTGAGTCTACATTAGTTGTAGGTGTGATTTCCCCCCGCCTCCTGCCCCATGACAACTGGGATAGGTTCCAGGACCCCTGCGACCCTCAATTGGATAAGTGGAAGAAAATAAATGGGTGGCTGTGTTGACACTGCAATTAAAACTATAAGTGATCTCCTGGGTTTTCAAGACTTGTACTCATTGTTCCAACCGACAATGCAACATCTGGTATGAAATGCTCACAGCTGAAACAAGTCTGTCTGAAGGCGTGCCAAACTAGGCGTGCCTAGACAGGCATTATGCAAATGTGGCACATGGTTATGTAGATAAGTCATGGAATAAAAGCTTGGACTCCAAACAAGGAGTTTCAGGCAGTAGGAGTGGACTTAGGACCTTACAAACATTTTAACTGCACATGCAGTATATTCTGACACCCACCAGGAGAGGCAAAACCCAAATAATTTTTTACATTAGCGCCCACTAGACGAAAAAAGACTCATAACTACATTTAAAAATAATAATGTATCTGCAAGGTCCCTTTTACACTCAGTAGTTAAGTGGTATCGACTGGAGAGCAGAACACATGTTCGTTAGAAACTGATGACATACTCACTGAAATAGCTTTACTGGCCTTTAAAAGTAAACCGATGACTTATTCACTAAAAAAGCTTTCCAGACCTTTGAAAGTAATAAAACACAGATCAGTCCTCTGTCACAGATTCAGATCCACAGTCTCCAGTGGTAATATACTTTGTTACATGCGTCATGAGTCAATGATGATGTTACAGGCTCTTCCTAAAAAGCAAACAAAAATTAAAAAAGGCAAGCTATCCATTGGAAACAAGCGCCTGCGTTCATCTGCCTACATAAAAAAACTTTGAAAGTTTAGAGAAAATTGTTAAAAGTTTTAGAATAACTGTGAAAATCTCTCTTAAAATTTCCTTAAAATAGCAGAGTCATATCGTGGTATAAAAGTTGTAAACATCTGGGGGTTTGACTCCCGAACTCGTGAGTTGTGTTATCATCATTCACCACCAATGACAGCTCTACCTTGCGTGAGGAAATGATTCAGCAGATTTGGCTCTTGTCCCCTGTGGCGTGCCACTCTCCTGTTATAGTCCTGCTGTCACTTGTCCTGGGTGCCCTCTGTCTGGGATGACTCTAAATCTCCATCCACTGCGGTCAGAAACTCATCATTTTAGGTGACCAAGATCCCAAGATTTCATCCAAAGTGACAATTAGAGTAAAAACCCCTCAAACATCATTTCACAATGACTCAGTTGAATTTCTGCTGGGTTTTTTGTTTTTTTGTTCAACGTTAACATCAATAACATGCGGTGCCGGCGTGACTCTCATTGAAACGTGCTACTGAAAGTTCCCTGCCGCTGTGTGATCAGCATTTTGATCATCTCAGCCAGCTCTTTTCTTGAGCTGCTGATTTCATTCCTATTCAGACTGTGCAGATGATGACGGTTGTCAGGCTAATGCTTCATGAGCATCCATAGCATCGGTGCATGCACATTGAGCCCACTTGAGGGACTTATGAGAAACCTTGCTGTGCCCTCCATACTCTATTCCAGGCTCAATTTGCTGCCTTCTGGCTTCCTTCCAATGATCAGAGGCAAATATTGTAGGGGGAAACCAGTTCACTCTGCTTCTTTCAGTCAGCTGGCAGACTGGCAAAAAAAAGAAAAAACAGAAAGCAGCTGAGAACAGTTCATCACCTTATTTATTATTCAGGACTCAGCATAAAAGCCATGGCAAGAGCAAGCCAATCTTTTTGGTAGAAAACAAGGAAACTTCTGCAACCATTATTTATATGAGGTTTGGCAGAATAAAAAGTATAATCTTTCTAAGAATGCCGTGTTACGCTGATTTACTTCCAGTTATGTTGAGTCATTCCCTTCGTATTCAGCTCGCGTCAGGAGTTTCCTTCCTACCTCAGAGTTATTGATAGTCGGCTTTCATCCATAAATACCACATTTTAAGATATTTAATACATAAATCTTTAACTGTGTTCATGTCTGAGGAGTATTTCTGCACAAACCAGCTGAAAGTTGATCTGGGTCCACAGCACGCTACCAACTTAACTGAGTGCACTGACTCAGTATTATCAAAGTGCTCAACCCATCTGGGCTGATGACATAATCTATGAGCCCATCTGCTCTGTGAGGGATGGAAATAATCCGGTGTTGTACTACAGCAATGACCCAAGCATGTGCCCAGCACATGGTCCGAGCAGGCAGAGTGAACACACAAGTGCACTGAGGATTTAGGTGGCCCTGGGGCTTGTCCAGTATCCCACCCCCCCATGGTCATGTGGTGACACATGGGGACACCCCTCGTCCCAAAAACCTCAGCGTTCTTATGCAAGAAATAATCTGGTTATACAATCCGGTAATGTTTTCTGGATCAAGGCTAGAGAAGGGAACGCTTTTTTAGATTTGATAAAATCACAACTTTTTTTTTTCCATGTATCGCTCGGTGTCCCAATCAGATGAAAGCATTCGTGGAGATGCTCAGACCCTTTTCTTATGCTGCGATAACCAGACTTTAAGAATTTTCCTGATTTTAATGAATCAACACGCAAGTCCAGTAACGCACGTCCTCCCCGTAGTTTTGTCACACACTTCTAAGTCAATCGAGCTAATTCTGTCCACATACTGACCGTTGTGATCACTGAATGAGAATGAGTATTGTCCAGGATGTCACACAATGACAGCCCGGGATAACTACAGTACTTGTGTGGGCAAACACACACCTCTGTTTGGCGTCGGTGGAGATTAAAGCTGCGGTTATGCCTGATGCATCAGTTATTGCGCACAGCAATTATGACATCAACGCAGCGTTGTAACCTTTTATACTTACTGCTGTCTACCTCTAAATGACAGACGTCACTGCTGAGAAAAGTATATGCTACACGGCTGTAATAGCAACAGAAGAGGTGATATAAAGGAACTATGTCATTCAAACACAGCGACAATTATCGGTTTATCTACACTTTTCTGTAGACAGTCGCACATTTTCCTTTTGGTTGAGCAATCCCAGCACAGCTTCTGTGACAACTGGGAATCCAACTGATAGTCTGTAAATATGCTTTTAAAGGAAGACCAGTACATAGACTCATGCCTCCACGTCAACCAGTTTGCATGCATGCCACGTGATGCAGGTTACAAAATTAAGAAACACAACCACCTGACACTGGGTCATCAGCAATAATGACTACTTTTTATGCCACCATGAGCAAAGGTAACGACTGCAAGCGTAAACTAAGCTTACATTTATGCCAGTCATCATGCTTGTGCACATGGCATTATACCTAAAAGCCCACTCCTGATACCTCAACGTCACTGCAAAACAGCTAGATGCATACCCAGCATTAAAATTTAGATTAACATGATACAAAAGTAAGTGGAAAACTGCTAAACTTTTACTGAACACAGACTGTTTTGTTAGTCATGAACTGCATTAACTTAAAGCCTCCCTTTAGCACCAGAAGTAAATTAGGCCTTGAAACATTGCAAAGTTTTCTAGTGTTGATAAAGAACGGCATTACTTCTGACTGCAACCAAGTTACTGGCCATTCTCCCTCATTTCTCTCCCATCCTCTGCAGGTGGTAGGCAAAGCCCAAGGTGTGGGGGAGGGTACTTCATTCGCAGGTGCTTTGCTCATAGCCGTCAAAAATCATACATTTTTAAAATGAAAAGAAATAAACTGAAAAGTCATGTTAAAAAGTTATTTTTAAAATGATCTTACGGCATTTTTGTAGCAATGAAAATAAATAAAACACTGGAACCCGATGCTTCCACAGGTTAGGGTTAAGGTTAGTTAGAAACCCCTCTGTCTGTGCAAAGGAAGTGTCGGGACAACCTGTGTATTATCAGGAAAATACTGCACTGCGGGATTTAGTACTAGATGCTTCAATATGGATGGCAACAAATAAACACAAGTAACTGGTTTGTCAGTGGTTCACCCTGCAGCAAGATAATGACCCAAAACATTAGAGGAAGAGGACAAGGCAGGCTTCAGATGATGGAAAACCAGCAGTCTCCAGACTGAATCCCCATTTAGGTGAACTCGATAAAAGGGCGAAGCAAAGCAAACTAAAAGAACAATAGGTTTGGTGCTGAAACATCCAATGTGTTATTTCTAGTGGTCTGAGTTTAAAATTTAGGATAACATAAGATATATTTTATTTATCCCATCATTGTTACATTCATGCATTACAGCTGCCAACCTACTAATCTGTATCTTTCCAATCCTTCAAAAACAGTTTTACCTATTACAGAGCATTACTGCATCTAGAAGAAATTATAGATTTTCATATTGTTTCCCTTATTGTCACTATTATATTTATGTGCTCTCTCTTTTCATTTTAACTTAACCATACCAGTTTGCGCAATCTTTAAAAAAAATAGCTCTTGCTATTGAGGCCTTGAGTACATAAAAGCTACAGAAAAAACAACACAAACTGATAATCTGATAATTACTTAAACAGTTAAGCAAAGAGTGTGTAAAGCATGAATGTTCTTAGTTATAAAATTCAGTAAGAAAAACCCCTACAGTGTTGATAAAAAGCTGCATTATTCTCAACTAAAGCCAAATCCAAATCCAAGCCTACTATTCTCCTTTCCTTCTGTCACTCACATCCTCTGCTGCTGGGAAGACAAAAGCCAAATCATGAGGGGTGGCGCTTCATTTACAGGTAATTCCAAGAACAGTCAAACTTATAAATACAGACAAAGGTGATCGTGATGTTTTTCATCAATGATAATGAAGAGAGCAATTTAAAAGGTACCAATGCCAATAAAAACAGGGTGTAGAAAAGTGTACATCCCCCTCAGTCAGGACTGAGACTTGGTACTTCAAAATCTCACTGTTTTCCACGGCTACTTTCCTTCAATCATCGTGCCCTCACACCTCTTGGGTTCTGCTTACAGTCCTGCAATGAATTTAAAAAGGCTTTCAATTGCCTGGCCTGCCTGAATCTGCACTAGGGTCAGCTCTCTAAATCCCAGCAGCTGACACCAAATCAATTACCACGTGGCTGTTGGGTAAGCAGAATGGGATGTCCACAAGGAACTCCAGAAACTGGGCTAAATATGAAACCACAGTGACCACTGCTCACCAGTTTGCTGGCACACCGAGTCTGCGGCAAATATGCAGAACTGGCTGTGCAAAGACTAACCCCAGACACAAGCACAGCGAGAGCATGGAGCAATTATTACAGAATAAATAAGCAGCTATGGTTTCCTCTGATAAGAATATATATGAAGTGTAATAAAATTTTAAATCTTGGAGGCATATTGACAAGAAAACAAAATCAAATGAATTAAAGCTACAAACAAGGATTATGTAAATACTTTACATGTAATTACACATTTGTTACAAAAGACAGAATAAAGATTAAAATTGAAAACTAAAAAAAGAAGCAAAGTTGAAAAATGCACTCTTGACCAGCATAAACTCAAAGATATATACTACTATCAATATTTGCATTGTACATAAACATTGCGATGAAAATCATCATATCACAGACCACAAGCTAACATCTTCAAATGACATAAACCCAGTGTTTTATTTAAAAGGCAACAATTCAGAATTAATATTTATCTAATTATCTGAAAATTTATCAGATTTTTTTGTTTGTTTCTATTAATCGTTTCAACTCTTCTTCCTAGAAGCCATTTAATAATTCAATAAATGTATTAGTAACAACTGTGTTAATGGGAATGAAAACTTGTGTTAGGTTTTGGTCTTTTAAAAAGCCAGAATGTGAAGCGTCACAAGTCTGATGACTGTGCCTTTTCCCACTTTCCAAACAGATGCGTCTGTTAGTTTGTGTGTCATCGCCACCTCTTCATACATGAACATTTCTTTTCAAATCAAATTCAAATGATGCATTTCAAGAAGGGCCCACACGGCCGGCAACAAAAAGAGAACAAAGGGAAAGCAAAAAAATCTGTTTCTTTGTCGAAACCGTCAGCTGTCAGCGCCCCTCGCTGTCTTTCTGATGGTGTAAATAAACTTTTTCAGAGTATCTCATATGATGGTTTGACAGTGATTTATGAGCATGATAAATACTTGCCTGCCTTGACGTGTTTCATTTACATGTTAATAATTTTACAGCATTGTTCTTTATATAAAAAATGCATAGTTTCGAGAGATTTGATCTCATGCAAGCTTTGTTTACTGTTATATAAAATTCCCTCTGAGTTTTTATGCAGGAATGTTGACTCAAACATTGGAGCAGCTCTCCCCAGCCCAACAACAAATACCTGCTGAAAATTAATTTTTAGCGGTTAGCTTCTTTAATCTTCCTCCTATTAGTTTGGGCCATAGTTCAGATCTAATGTGTGTATGATGGAATAATTGCAAAATGACATTGCTGACTGTGTCTTTATATGTGTGTGTATCTTTAATTTGTGGTTTTAGTCAAACTGTTACGTTTTTTAAAGTGTTGTACAAATGAAATTATTATTGTCAGTATTATGATTATTACTGTTGTTGTTAAATAACACTAGTAGTTATTAGAAATATGATGTAATTAATCAAATCTGCCAAGAGGAAACCTCATTGGCTGATGTTTGATGTGTTGCGAGCTATAAGCCAATCTGTTTCCATGCTAAAGATTAAGCAGCAGCACACTATAAACAAAAGTTATCACCTGCTTCGTTCAGATAAAGAGGAGTGCAGTATGAGCTATCTACACATTAAAATGTCCTGTGGGGAGAGGGGCAAAATTAGTAGCGTGCTGCAAAATGGGGTGCGTGCACTGGGCTCGGTGCGACCTGTGAGCCCCGTCACACTGACAGATGAGGTGGTGTGAAGCTGAAGGTCAGCTCCTGAATGCCTGATGGAATACCAGCACAGAGAGGAACACAGGCTACAGAGGAAATGCCCAGGTGTAGCCGCCTGTCTTTTGTAATCAGTCACTGTGCAACTTGATGAGCGAGAGGTGAGGAAACACTCGCCAACATTGGTCTTGGCTTTGTTTTCTGCAATGTGCAATGTAGCACACTCTTATTAATCCTTCTCCAAGCTTATCTTTTTGATCTACAACTCTTCTCCACACTAAATATAACTTGAGTTACAAAACACACCAGGTAGGAGAGCTCTTTATAGATATTTGGGTTGCCTAACTAGCTGCATAAAAACCAGCTCAACCAGTTTAAGGATCTACAAAGTATGTAAAAAGCCTAACCTGTCAATACTGCAGTATTATGTCCTTCCAACCCATGCGTACTTCTCAGCAGGACATCCATCTTTACACATTCATCTTGTCCAGGAACTAATGCATTGAGTTTGACTAAGAAGGGATTGTGTGGCAGGGGCAAAAAAAGTCCTGCTCTGTGTGACTTATCTTAGAGGTACAGAACAGCTATGGAAATATCAATAGCTCTGCTTCAGTCAAAGGAACAAGCTGATTCAACATTTTTCTATCTCCAGGAGAGCATAGTTCAGTGATAAACCACTTACTGTTGATGGAAATGACAATGCAATGTGGTGTTTGACAATAAATGCCAAAATATGGGGGATGGAAACAGATTTTAATTAGTACAGAAATATTTTCTCTTAGAACAAATTAAACAACTATTGGCTAGCAAAGTGCCTCTTCAGCACCATGTGCCAAAGTCATCTGAACTTTCTTTCTTTATTACTGTTGCCTTTTCATGCTGATTGGCACAACTGTAGAAGCTTTTAGCACCTCTCCCCACTCCTTTGAGGCAGAACTGGTCATTTAAATCCCACAGACTCATGCGTAATTCTTTTCAATCCTACCATAGCTGTGATTTGGCAGAAAAGGCACTGATGCAATAGCTCAGCACTTTAGAAGCAGTAGTCGTTTACGAATGTAACAATACTCTGGTGAACCCCAACACTTTGGCCTGACCCCAGATCACCGAAATGCTGCGACAGCAAATACAGTTTGACTCAGGAACAGGGAATGACGCAGGTGTGTGTATGTGGTCCAGAACAGGTGGACAAAGTGTAATCAGAGGCCTTTTATCTAAGCCTTGTGTGACACTACTGTTGCAAAAGCTCTAATTATAATTACCCAATGATGATGTGATTCAGCAGTTTTCTATTATCAAGAAGGCTGACTTATACTCTACTTATGCTCCCAATTGGAAATACGTGTTGCCAAACCTTTTAAAGGTTTCGGATGCAAAATGTATTTTTCATGTATTAAACACTTTTTTTTATTGCCAATGTGTGAATGAACTGTAGAAACTCCCTTCCTCCAAGGCTAAAAAATCCCTTTACATTGAACATGAATTGATTACGTTTTATTTATTTTCAGCGATGCCCAGGAAACCCTGTCTCCAGCCACCTCCTCAGTTCTTCTGGGGGAACACTGAAGTGCTTCTAAAACAGCCAAGAGATGTCTCCAACATGTCCTTGCTCTGCCCCTGGACCCCTTCTTTATGGGACCGGAACAACTCACTTAGGAGGTGCCCAGAACGCATCTTAAGCCATAGGTTAGCTAGGAAAATAGATTGGCACTTAAATCGACAGCTCAGCTCACTCTTTACCATAACAGGCTGGCACCACTCCATCTGTTAATCTCCCTGAACTACGTTGCTCTGCTCACATTGTTGCTAGCCAATCGAATCATAATGTAGGGCAAGTCCACAACAGTCCCAGTTTCTCCTACGGCCTCTTGGGAAAATTAATTGCCCACCCATGGTCTATGCTCTATAGTTTGGCTCAAGCTCGGTTAGCTTGCCTTGTGAGTGATCACAACTGCTTAGCTATGCAGCATATCTTGTAATCACCGCTGTTTCGTCCGATGATTCCTTGAGTGTGGAGTTCAAACACACAGTGACCTATCAGCTGACTTACCTCTTATCACAGGTATCATAATAACAAGGGTTTTTCTGAACATTATCATCGAGGAACTTTCAGTAAAGCAGGAGCATGCCAAGAAATAACAGTTACCTCCACCAGTCAACAGCTTGTTTAAGAGGCTTAATAATCTTTAAAGACTTACAATGTACAGCAGCTATGACACAGGTTTAACCTTTTAAGTGCAAGCCTTAAGTCAATATACTGACACAAACACACTGCTATAAAGTTAACAACAATTTTCAATCCAGAGAAATGTTCACGTTCACTCATCCTAAAAGGTGCTGCAGTTGGCATATACTGAACTGTTCATTTAACAAGGCAACCAAGCCTTTAATACTTCCTCTGCTGTGTCAGGCATGTTTCCACACTTTGAGCTTGATTTAAGGAATCACAGCACATCCATTACTAGCGCACCCAAAAAGTGACGATTTTGCTGACAAATGTGTTTCCCGGGCAGGATTTGATTGTTTTGCCTTTTTTCAGACTGTATTCACAAATGGTATACAGAGCTGAGACAATCAATATTTTAAATAAACTGCATGAGAAAAATAGCTGGTAGGTATTTTGGTGGTCTTTAAGGCTTCGATTCTACAAAACAATGTTTTCTTAAAGTCCAACTTATCAATTGTAACAAAGTGTCTTTGTCCTGCCTGATATAAATAAAATATATTTGGACTTTGAACTGATACTACAACAAAACCATATTAATATGTCACCTTCTACTTTAAAAAAGGTTTGGATCTTGGAAAACGTCAACCAGAATAACAAATTCAGGTAAACTGTGCCATGTTTTATTTGTTCTTTGTTCGGAATAAACACATACTTTTATTTTAATCATGTTTTTTGCACTTTTTTTTTTTATATTTTAAAAAGGTGCTATTTTCTAGCATGTATATGCACCAAATGATAAACCCGTTTATTAAAAAAATATCCAGCAGAATCAATAATTAAAACAAATAGTTTTTAAGGAAATTAAAAACATGAGCTTTTGTTATAAAAAATATATTCTCCTTTTAAAATATTTCCTCTTATGTGGTAACGACTTGATAATGACACTACTATTACAAGCAAAACGAATATTTTTTCAGCTCTGATGTGGTCTTGTGATTGTTATTAATCACTGATTTATTAAGGTATTTCAAACCTTTAAAATAACAAGACAGAATCACATGAACACTAATGTCAGCTGAAGACAGATGTAAGTAAATGAGTATTAGCCCAAATTGGCAGACTGTAGCATTGTTAGTCCTGACTGCAGCTTCAAAACAAAAGCATCAACAACAACAAAGGGGATAGCTGCTGATTAATACAGTGTAACATCAGGAACACGGGCTAACGTTAGCAGATGTGCCGACAGTCTATGAAATGATCAGGCTAGCGAGCTCTATGCATAAAAAATGACTGACTGCAGGGGCTGACACAACAACTTACCTTGGGCTTATACAGCCACTTTCGAAAGCGGTTCATCGTTACCTCGCCACCTTCCTTTGTCACCAACCCCTCCTCTCTTCTCCTGTACCTGTGTGTCTGACACTATCGGCGGCTGGCTGGCGGCTAAGCTAGCTAGCGCTTCTTGGGTCCAAATAGGAGGAAAAAAGACAATGTACGGCAAGTTGTCCTGAACGTTACACCGAGGCTCTGAAGGCGCACAAAGGAGGTATTGGGAAATAACCACTTATTTCCATTTTCCCTGAAGCCCGAGGTTAGCAACCTGTCCCTCCACCTGCCCAGTCACTTTCCAAGTCCCCGACGATACAGACAACTGGAGCACCGAAGGCTCCGCTGTTCTCTGCCCCTCTAACGTTACTCGATGACAGTCACGTTGACAACATTCACCTCCCACTTTCCCAGGAAGTGGTGCGTTCAAATGCTCCTCCAAAAATAGCTTCTTTCTCCAAAAGAACTCGATATAAACTCATAGCACAATTCTACAATCCTCCTTCTTAGAACCTTACTGAGTTCCTTGGACTACCCCATTGTTCTGAATATGGGTTATTAACGATGTATACCCTGGAAAAAGAAACCAGTTCAAAGAAATCATTACAAGCCACGACATTACCATTTTAAGCTTATGATTAGTGAATGTAAACTTCTAACCATGATTATAACTTCTATGGACGTTTTAAGAGTCTCTTAGTTCTTCACACACTGCAGCTGCCTTTTGGTTTAGTTTTTGGTTGGATAAATACAGCATAATATCTCATCATTTGCAATTCATCCCAGGATGAATTAACCTCATTTTGAGACTAAGTAAGGGCCATATTATTTTTATTGCTTTAATATGTAAACCCTTCAAATTTAAAGATGGTTTACTTTCTTTTTCCTCATGTAATAAAACATAAGCAACAGATAAGAAAAGTTTACTAATGACAGTTGTTTTCTGTTACCTAAGAAACAAATTTGAATTTGCTACATTACAATAATTTTAGAATCTGGAGGAAGTGTGTCAAATTGACACTAACAGTATATTCAATAAATCACAAAAAAATGATTTATTTAACATTTTATTTAATAACATTTTTATCTTCTTAAAATGTTATGCAATAGCTTCGCTGGCCCAGCCCACTTGAGATGAAATTGGGTTTGACACCCCCCCCCCCCTTATCTAGATTGTATTAATAGTGTATGCATATATTTAAGTATGAGTAGTGGAGGTTTTAAGTTTTTATAACTCAGTTGTGTGAGAAAAACAATACAGTAGCCCAATGTTGTTTAATTTTAACTTTAAAATCAAATGTCAGGCAAATACAGGGAAATTTCATCAAATAAATGTATGATTTAGGATGTGTACAGATGCCATTCTTTGCAGTAAAGACCATCCAAATGAGGAGCAGCAAATTAAGCACATTTTTTAGGTTTGTAAAAGAGATTAGAGAGAAAATATCAGTGGGGAAAACAATTTTCACTCAAAATACACTTCCAGGTTATTCCTTAGCTTTCGCCTGTATTACATGATTAACATCAGCAGTGTGTGTTTGTCCAGAAGCTATTTTGGAGTCATTTCAACTTTCTGTTTTCTAATACATCACATGTAGATTAATCATAAGCTTAGTTTGGTATTTCCTAATTTAAATTCAACAAATGACTTTGTTTTCACTCCGGTTAAGAAATATGATTATGATGATCAGGTTAAACCAGGAAATCAAATGCTCGATTCTGAGAATAAAAACCCAGTTTCCATGTGATTTACCCAGTAATTAGCTTTTGTCCCTCAGATACCAACAACGTAAAATCCCTGGTAAGCTAGGAAACAAATTTTTTTGTAAAACCATCATTTTTTAAAGCACAAGCAAACAACTTTCCTTCGGTTTTTAGAACGGGTTTCCATCTTGACCAGATGTTTTAACGTGTCACTTTGATCGCCTTCTGTCTATTGTAGAATTTCCAAAAGCACATGAAGGCAGCAGGAGACCAGCACAGCCCCAGCAAGACGTCACAACACACTACGTCATTATTATTGTTATGGACGCCAACAAAGGATGAGGAGGGCACTCTGTTAATCTGTACGGATTAAAACTGTGAAATATTTAATATGTTAAACTGAACAATAATAAAACGCCTCTTTTGAATCTAAATAATTAATTTTTTTTTGCTGAAGCATTCCTCGTTTAACATTTCGAGCTGGGACGTATGTCTGTTTACGCCTGTTTTTGTTGCTAAGCAACGACGCAACACAGCGACGGCTGGAGACTGTCTATGAGTCGAAGACAGCAAATGTTTTTTGTGAATTGATGTCTTTCATTAGCAGCCCGGTTGGCTTGTCTATCCCAGGGAGAACTGTTTGTTCTCTCATCTCTCAATGCGTGAGCTTTGCTTATATAAACAGTTTATTTTTGGGATTTTCTAGTGGATTTAAGATGGCATCAAACTATGCATCACTTGTGAAGGAAGCCGTTCAGCTCCTCGACAAGTTTAGAGCTAGCAGACAGTGTCTGGATGACTTCACAGAAGATGCTATGAAGGATCTGCAGGTATGTCAGACTCAGATCAATGTGAGTGCATAGGCCTGCTTCTGATTGGTCTGTATTTCTTGTTTTGTCACAGGACATGGACATGCTGCAGAGGAAGTTCATTCTTGATGTTGTTTCCGGATGTGTTGAGCAAAAGAAGCTGCTGGATGTAGTCATCAATGCCTTCTTTGGCCAGCACGTAAAATCAGTGTCCAGAGGTGAACGTAGCCAGTTTGTTGGTGAGTAACTTCATTGCTACTCCTGATTTCAGCCTGAATAAAAGAACTGACATGTTTTAATGATCGTCTTGCTCCCCAGTTATCTGTTACCTGGCCACATTTCTTCTTGATGACCTCGGGCTTCAGTGTTTTAGCAGCATTGTTAAATCTCTGGACATCAAGAAAATGCACATGGTAAGAAACACAAATTCTGGGTGCAGAAGAGGGAAATTAATCAGCAGCTTTCTTATGTTGCACTTTTCAAAATTAGTTTTTAGGTTTCTTCTTCTCAAACCTCACCACGTGGATACAGGATGAGTGGAACAACATCTATGATTCTGCCTTTGTTGCGAAACAGTGGATTGGGCCTCTACTCAGGTGAGAAAAGCATGATAAACAAAAATACTACTTAGGTAATAACACTATAATAACTCAAAAAATGAATGGAAAACTTAAATCTACACATTGTGTAATTCACTGACAACAAAAAGACATGACAGCAGTCAGTAGCAAACAAAATTTTTAATCCTTTGAGGGCTGTATTCAGTGATTGATTTGACGCTGAAGTCACATGAAGTTCGGCACAGCGTCTGTAGACTCTTTCATTCCTGTCACATAGGCTCAGTGTGAACATGCAAGAGAATAGGGAACTAAGGGGTGCTCATGCCATTGATCATTGAGTCTGTTTCCTCACAGTCTGGTCAGAAATGTGCACAAGTATTCCAGTGGAGGTTGTTTTGTGAGCAGAGCATTTCAAATTCAGACAACCCAAATGTTTGCGTGTGTGTCCTTTAGGTGGCGCCCTGAGATAGATATTCTCATGGACCAGCTTGCAGTCAAGATCTCTCAAGGGAATCTGCTCAAGAAAGCTGCAACCAAAACCACTGAGCCCCAGGAGTTCGCCCTCACCGAACCTAAACCACGGCCTCTACCCATGCCCGAGCTCATCCCACAGCAGAAGAAATGCAAACCAGTCAGTATCAGTTACAAAAAGTCCTTTACTTTGAGAACTTTTCATGTCCTCAATCCTTAAAGAGAATGTAAGCTGTAAACTGTGTAGAGGCTGGTGCGTCACTCTTGTTTGTCATGCAGGTACCAAGCAGCACCTACAAGGCTCCAAAGGAGAAGCAGATAATCGAGGAGAATAAACAGAAGAACCATCAAAAGGCTCAGGTACAATGAATCTAATACAAAAGAAGATATGTTTAACAGTTAAATGACAGATGGCACATTTAAGTTCAATAATAGTAGATATTATCCAAATTTTTTATATTTTTAAATTCAATTACATATACTGCCATTAAAATGTTCACTTATCATACAGGAGCTTCTGTATGAAGCGAATATCAAACAGTTCAGATGTGGAAATCCACAGAAGTCTGAGCACACAAAGGTGTGTATGTGTGTGTGTGTGTGTGTGTGTGTGTGTGTGTGTGTGTGTGTGTGTGTGTGTGTGAGGGTGGGCTTGTATTCTGTTGGCTTCAACACCATCTCATACTTGTTCCACAGAGAGTGATGTCCAAGATTGAAGAAGACTTGGATTCAAGGCTCAAGCCTAATTCCTTTCATTCCCGTGGAGCTCCTTCCAGTAATAAGGTAAGACCTAAGTACTCTGCCGGTTTCTAGATAGCCTAATGTTGGTGTAATATCTGCTGTCATGTGTATATTTTTTACAGGCTGTCAGCTATCCGATCAAACTCAACAATGCAGCTATTCTAAGGAAGGAGGCACTGTATAAGCGTTGGGTGGAGGAGGAGGTCCAAAGGTACAGCACAGCTTTTACCTGCTACTTTGACCTTTTCCAAGGTGTCTGCATAGTGCTCCACGAGGATGAAGTGCAAATCAAACACATGAAAAGTTGCGTCCTTTGTGCGTCTGTTTTTAATACAGAATTGAGCGGCTGGTGCAAGGCGAGCGCGATCCTTCATCTTTCCTGCAGTGGCAAAAGGAGATGCGTGAGAAGGACCTTCAGGAGCAGTTGCCCAAGATTGAGCGCCGACACCTGGAGGCATGCATCAGTGAACAGGAGGCAGCTCTGGCCCGCAAACGTATAATGGAGCGCAATCAGAAGGCTGCGCAGCTGAAGAAAGAAGAGGTAGGTAAAAACCAAGTGGCAACTAATAAATAAAAGGAATTCACAGAGGATTAAACTTGTTGTCGTCTTCTTTATGGCTTGTTTGCATTTTCAAGACCGCTCAGCTGATGCAAAGATATGCTGAGAAAAGGTTGCAAGAGGAAAAGGAAATAAAGGATCTGGTGCAGCAAGTGGCAGATGGCCACAAGAATTCAAAGGCAGCTAAAGAGAAGTTACAGAAGCTGAAGCAAAGCATAGGTGCGCCTCCTCAAGCAGCTTGTCAAACGGGGCATTTCACGTGTTTCTTTTTGCTGTTCACATCAATGTCATGACAAATTTCACAGTGAAAGAAGTCTCCGAACAGAACCAGGAACTGCTTCATCAAGCACTGGAGGAAGCAGAGGCAGAGATGAGCCGCAAATTTGAAGTCATCCGAGAAATTCACTCCATTGAGTCGCTTCCTCGCATGAAATTCAAGAAATTTGATGACACAGACGTAAGTGAAGGAAAGCTGCAGTACTATGCAAAAAAGAAAAGTGGTTTCAATGTGGATCAAGACTTTTGCACAGTGCTGTATCTTATACTC